AATGTTCAGCTCTTCAGAAAAAGATGATGGATCTGTTATTGTGGTTAGTTTGGGTCTGGGATCACGTCTGGTTAGTGTTGTTACTCTTTGAAAACACTATTTAGTGTTCATGCCTGCTCAAGTCTCTCTTTGTATTTGTGTTTTGCTTTGATGATGTAATTTTTTAATTGACGGCTGATGGTTTTTAGTGAGGCCCAGTCTTGTTGTTGAATGGCTTTCCGTTTTTCCCTGTAAACTGTAGTTAATACGATGAGTTGTCCAGGGTTTGGATATTTCTTGGTGTGGTTGTTGTGATGCAGAATTTGATGTAGTCTGTGATGACGCAGACTCTCACGTCAAGGTTGTCCAGTCCGTGCAGGCAAGTGAGCCTTGTAGTTGTGTAATTGCGTCCTCCGACCACTGGTTGACACTGTAGACCTGTGGCTTGTGACTTTTCAGCACCGGTCTGGAATGCAGATGTAGAAAAAAAATATTGTTGTCCATGAAGCCGAGCGGTGGGTGAGCCCTTGAGATGTATGCGTCTGAAATATTGCCATAACAAAGGTCAAGAGTGTTTGCTCTCCTTGTCGGAATGTCCACATATTGCTGAAATGACGGCAGCACACTGTTGACTCTGCAACTGCTAAAATCACCAACAATGAACACTGGGGCTTCTGGATATTTCTCTTGCATGTTGTTAGCATTGTTGGCCACTAGCTCGGCTGCAGCCTTGGTGTTGGCACTGGGAGGGATGTAAACACAGCTGATGACAACAGTGGGGAATTCCCATGGAAGGTAGAATGGACGGAGGGACAGGGTCAGCATTTGTAAGTGGGGGGTACAGACCTTGTTGTGGATCTTTAAGTCGTTATGAACATGAACATGCAGACCCCTCCGCCCCTCTCTCCTTGCCCAACTCCTTCGTACGATCTGTCCTGAAGACGGTGAAGTTGTCGAGATCTACCACGGAGCCTGGAACAGCCTCATCAAGCCAGGTTTCGGTCAGGGCAATGATGCATGATTCTTTGATTTTGCGTGAAGTACGTCCAGTTTGTTTCGGAGAGAACGCACATTAGACGGGATGATGGAGGGGAGAGGGGATTTGAAGGTTTCTTTTCTCAGCCTGCAGCGCACCCTACCTTTATTCCCCTTTTCCTCATTCGTATTTCGGCTGGAAGGACACTTGATGGTTTGATACACTGGGGCATGGAGGACCGGAGTTGGAGCAGGACTTCCCTGGAGTAGGCGAGTCCATTTTTTCCATGTAGCTCTGGTAGTAATCTGTAGCATTTGTAGGTGATGAGCCAAGGGATGATGAGTATAATCCAAATAGTTTTGTGTAGTTCACCCATAGCGATAGACAATTCTGAACAAGCTAGACAACCCAAGACAACTAGACACACACACAGCGAGTGGACACAGTGAGGCAAACAGTACAGACGGTGTCGTCGCAGCAGAGAATGAGCCGGAAAGTGAAATGGCTTACTTGCTATTGCCAGTTGGTGGTGCTATGAGAATGAGTGATTTTGATGATACACAACAGTTTTGCGCATCTAACTGAAACAGGGCGCCAGGGCTGCATCATTGAAGGTTCACTTCCTGCTGCCAGCAGGTGGCACTATGAGCATGAGTGAATTTTGGCCTGTAGATGTGTTCAGGGTCACCGGCGCTGCAAAACTTCACCATGTCACATGACATAAAATCCTAGAGGGAGCAAGGAGGCTGTACGCAGACTTGACTGTGTTGCTGCTGGACTTTCATTGTGCCTCCAGGTGGAAGCATCAGCAGAAATAGCAGTGGTTGCATCACGTGACATTGCAGGATATGGTGATCTCATGGTGCTACATGCAGTTTCACGCAGAAGACACCACATCTGTCTGTGCGGTGATGGTAAAGATAGCATACAACACTCCTTGACATGCCCAACAACAACTGTTCTTATTCCTGCTATTCTCCTCCCTGAAGCAGATGTAGACCTGCAGGACTGTGTAGTTTACAGCTGGATGGCCAAACAGAGATTTTCTGACATCCTCAGGAAAACCAATTGCACACCACAAACTTTGTGTCTGGTCTGTTGGACACTCTTCTGCTCCTGGCTGCAGTTGCAGTGATAAAATGTGATGCAACTTTTCAGCAGGTAACACCTCAGCAGATGCTGTTGCAGTGAAAGGCGCAGTGTCAGGCTCCAAGTTCTGTCAGGATGGGGGATGAGGATGATAGGTTGAGCACCCAAATGCAGGACACAGGAGATCAAGACAGAACAGGGAACAAGCTGGATGCAAGCAACACACACAGACTACTTCAAACTAAAACAGGAAACAGAGCATAATACAGAGACACGGACCAAACTGACAGAACACTCACAGACAGAACCATAAGCAGACAGGAACAAACTCAAGACGAACTCCCGAACCGAACGATATCAAAATGCATCCCATACCATAGAATTGTATAGCCTATCTTTTGAAATGGTTGGTGCCCCACCAATTTTTTACAGATAAAAACGCCACTGTACACAGACAAAACAGACCGACATGCAGACCCAAACCAGAACCAAGCATGTGACAAACAGTGTTGGGCAGCAACGTGTTACTGTAATAATATTACAGTCCAAGTAACACTGCGTTGCTCGTTACTACTAGAATGCACTCCAGCTAAATAACAGAAACTTCATTTCACAGCACAACCCTGCGATGAAGAAGTGAAGCCTAGTGGAGAAAATCGATACATTATAGAGAAAATACAGACAAAGAGTAACATCAAGCTGCCACAAAGGAAGACATTTGATGGCTACCTGGATAGAGAATACGCTGTAACAGTTAACTGGATTAGCAGTTGAACTTTGGCTGCCATAGCAAGTAGAAGAATCAGAGGTCGGCAGGGTTAGAGTTAGGGTATCCATCAAAAGAAAGCGATACTCTTTTCAACAACAGGATACTGTTAATATATCAGAATCATTCTACTGATCATCTAACTTATGTTACAGTGTGAAGTCTACGTTTGCTCTGCAGAGACTTTAATGGAAAGTGAAAGTATTATTTGCCGGTTTGTTAAAGAGCGACGCAGGCTGCTTTCGAACACGGCCAGCAGTGTCATGGTGTTATATTATTAGAACAATAAAGCCTTAAAATGAAAAAGGTGTTTGCTTGATTTTCTAAATGTTATTGCGCACACAGACTGGATCGTTTCGGTTAATGAAGCAAAATGCAGATTACAGACTGGTTAAGTTATTAAGGTATGAATGGAAAATGTAGAGAAATTAAGAGTAGATTACTGACCTAAAGAAAATACTGGAGTAAAGAGTAAAAGTACAGTTTTTAAAAAAGGTACGTGAAAAGGTGCCAATTACTTTTTTTTTAATGTATTTACTTAGCAAATGTGCGTTATTTGTAACAAGTTCCTACCCACCCTGCAGCAGGAGTCCTCACTGCTGTCTTCAGGCAGGCTAGTAACAGCAGCACAAAAGAAACGTAGCCTATTGAGGCGCTTTGCTGCACCCAAACTTTTTTTTCTCTCCCTTAACTTTTCAGCACCACCTTTGCCTTGTGTCACATGTTTTCTATAGGCCAATGTGATTTATGTCCGCGTTTCAACCGTTTAATCATGTCTGATGCGGTGTGTGATTGAATGACTAGTCTTTCAAACCACCTCGGCCATGAGCCAACCCCGAAATTGACGGAGTGAGGGGGGACAAAACATAGATTTTGAAATGTGGGGGGGGAGATGTCCCCCTTATGTATAATGGCTCCTATGCATATGGTCATCTTTGAGCGTTTGAGCACAAGATGACCACACATGGCAGAAATCATGTTTCACATGTTAGCAAATTATTTATCAAAAATTTGTTACTTCAATAATTACCATCCGACTTATATCATCATTTATTCAAACTGACATCATGATTAAATGAATGAGAAAAAACATTTGTTAAACTTTCTAAAATGAGGCAAATTAAATTTAAAGATACAACAAATTGCACTTTTTAAAAATCACTAAATTAAATATGGCTCATTAATTTTTATGATCAAAATACATAAAAAATCATATGATTATAAAGACAGTGACTTATAAATGATAATCTGTACTTTAGGATTACTCTTAATACTAAAGTGCAGCATATTTTACAAACACACCAGAGATCAAACTAAAAACCGAAAAGCTCAAAACAAGAACATATACTGTTTAATAATGGAAATAACAGAGAACATTTTATGTTTCAAACAATGAAAACTTTCACATGTTCAGTCTCTCCTGAACACGTTCATGGTCGAACTCAGCTGTTACAGAAGAAAAGTAAAGAAACATTTGAGAGATGTTCAAATTGAGAACACAGTGATGATGTTTTAACCACTAATAGTTTGAACCCCCCTGAGCCCTGGACTAAAGTGCCGGGTTGTTCCAAACATCAGTCTTCATTTATTTTTGTCAACCAACAAAAAGCCACTGCAGCCCCTGCGGCCACTGCAGCCCCTGCGGCCCCTGCAGCCCCTGCAGCCCGAGCAACCCATGCAGCCAAAGCAGCAACTGCTGCCACTGTGGCAACTGCTGCCACTGCGCTTCCTGCCGCTGATGCAGCCAAAGCAGCCACTCCAGCCACTGCGGCCCCTGCAGCCCAGGCAGCCACTGCTGCAACTGTGGCCCAGGCAGCCCCTGTGGCCCATGCAGCAAATGCGCCCCATGAGGTTCCTGCAGCCCAGGCAATGACTGCAGCCCCTGAGGCCCATGCGGTTCCTGCTGCCCATGTAGCCCAAGCAGCCACTGCAGCCCCTTCAGCCCAGGCAGCCACTGCAGACCATGCAGACCATGCAGTTCCTGCTGCCCATGTAGCCCAGGCAGCAACTGCATCCCCTGCAGCCCATTCAGCCCAGGCAGCCACTCTGGCCCCTTCAGCCCAGGAAGCCACTGCAGCCCATGCAGCCCATGCGGTTCCTGCTGCCCATGTAGCCCAGGCAGCAACTGCATCCCCTGCCACCCCTTCAGCCCAGGCAGCCACTGCAGCCCCTGCAGCCCCTGCGGCCCCTTTAGCCCGGACAGCCCAGGCAGCCCCTGTGGCCTCTGAGGCCCCTGCAGCCCAGACAGCCCCTGTCGCCACTGCAGCAACTGCAGCCCATGCGGTCCCTGCAGCCCATGCAGTTCCTGCCGCCACTGCAGCGACTACGGCCACTGCGGCCCATGGGGTCCCTGCAGTCCCTGCTGCCCATGCAGTCCAGGCAGCCACTGCAGCCACCGCTGCCACGGCAGCCCCTGCAGCCACTGCGGCCCTTGCAGCCACTGCAGTCCATGTGGTCCCTGCTGCCCATGAAGCCGAGGCAGCCACTGCTGCCCGTGCAGCCACTACGGCCCATGCCGCAACTATGGCCCATGCGGTCCCTGCACACACTGCAGCCCCTGCAGCCCCTGTACACACGGCAGCCCCTGCGGCCACTACAGCCATTGCAGCCCATGCGGCAACTGTGGACCATGACGTACCCGCAGCCCATGCAGCCCAAGCAGCCACTGAAGCCACTGTGGCCCATGTGGAAACTGCAGCCCATGCAGCAACTGCGGCCCATGCAGTCCCTGCTGTCCATGTAGCCCAGACTGCCACTGTGGCCCCTGCAGCCAATGCAGCCCATGCGGCAACTGCGGCCAATGCTGCCCAGGCTGCCACTGTGGCCACTGCGGCCCATGCCGTAACTGTGGCCCATGCAGCCCGGGCAGCCACTGCGGTGATCCTGTTCCTCCTGATCCTGTTTCTGGAAGCATCACCTGGAATCAAACAAGTAGAGATTAGTTCATCTCCTCAGAACTGCTGGCTGAAAATTGACAGCACTAAAACTTATACAAACGTGTCTGCTGGATCACAGACTGCTTCAGTCTTAAAAACTTTAGTGAACATTTGAGACACAACCAGTGAACTCGTTTGCTCTGTAAACTGTGTTTGCTCATCTTTGGTTCAAAATGTCTTCAGTGCTCCACCTGTAACAGGAGTGGTAGCACAGCGCTTTTCATAAAAGAGCGGGTCTAGACCGCCTTTTAAGAGGCAGAAACCTCGAGCAGAACCATGGCTCAGGGTGGGCAGAGAGAGAGAGAGACAGACAGAGAGAGGGAGGGACGGGGAGGAGCAGCCTACACAATATCCACACAGAGGTACAGACAGTAAAGGTGATGTTGCTATAGACTAAATGAAAAATGGTACAGATATTTATAGTAGTGTTAATGATTATAATAACAATAATAATAGGACTAGTAACAATAGTCGTTGCAGCAGAGGGTGTCGAGCAGGAACACGGGGGCAGCAGGTGACCCGCAACCACAGATCCAGACTCCAAAGCTCCAGAGCCAGAAACACCTGCAGGAAGTGACAGGAGAGAGGAGAGGGACGAGAAAGCACAAGACTACCAGAAAGGGGAGAAGTTGTGTTAGTAACATGCAATAATGGGATGAGGTTGCATACAGAGGGAGAGAAAGTAGAGGAGAGAGGAGCTCAGTGCATCATGGGAAATCCCCCGGCAGTCTAGGCCTATAGCAGCATAACTAAGGGATGGTTCAGGACTCGTGGCGCGGTGGTGCAGTGGTTAAGTGGTGTCTCCAAAATTGTTCTTTGGTGTGAATGTGAGTGTGAGTGGTTGTTTGTCTATGTGTGGCCCTGCGATGGACGGCGACCTGTCCAGGGTGTACCCCGCCTTTTGCCCGATGTCAGCTGGGATTGGCTCCAGCACCCCCGCGACCCTGTACGCAGAATAAGCGGTTGACGAAGGATGGATGGATGGATCGTTCAGGACTCACCTGAGCCAGCCCTAACTATAAGCTTTATCAAAGAGGAAAGTCTTAAGCCTACTCTTAAATGTGGAGATGGTGTCTGCCTCCTGAACCCAAACTGGAACCTGGTTCCACAGGAGAGGAGCTTTATAGCTGAACGCTCTGGCTCCCATTCTACTTTTGGAGACTCCAGGAACCACAGGTGCATTCTGGGAGCGCAGGATTGGTCCAAAGACAGATCCTTGTGGAACTCCATGACTAACTTTGGCATGCATGGAGGACTCATCGTTAACATGTACAAACTGAAATCGATCTGATAAATAGGACTTAAACCAGCTTAGAGCGGTTCCTTTAATGCCAATGAAATATTCCAGTCTCTGCAATAGGATCTGATGGTCAATGGTATCAAATGCAGCACTAAGATCTAATAAAACCAGTACAGAGACAAGTCCTTTGTCTGATGCAATAAGGAGGTCGTTAGTAATTTTCACCAGTGCTGTCTCTGTGCTATGATGAGCTCTAAATCCTGACTGAAAATCCTCAAATAAACTATTGCTCTGTAGAAAGTCACACAGCTGTTTAGCAACTGCTTTCTCCAGAACCTTAGAGAGAAATGGAAGGTTAGATATAGGTCTATAGTTGGCTAAAACATCCGGATCAAGTTTGGGCTTTTTCAGAAGAGGTTTAATTACAGCTACTTTAAAGTACTGTGGTACATAGCCTGTTGATAAAGATAGATTGTCTATCATATCTAGTATAGAGGTGCTGACTAAGGGTAAAACATCTTTAAGCAGCCTAGTCGGGATGGGGTCTAAGAGGCAGGTTGATGGTTTAGATGAAGAAATTATTGAAGTTAGTAGGTAAAGATTGAGGGAAGCAAAACAGTCTAAACATATATCTGGTTCTACAGCTGTTTCTAAGGTTCCTGAGTTAAGAGATAAGTCGGTGCCAGTTGAGGGCAGGTCTTGGTGAATTTTGTCTCTAATAGCTAGAATTTTATCATTAAAGAAGCTCATGAAGTTGTAACTACTGAGAGCTATGGGAATACTTGGCTCAATAGAGCTGTGACTCTCTGTCAGCCTGGCTACAGTGCTGAAAAGAAACCTGGGGTTGTTCCTATTTTCCTCTATTAATGACGAGTAGTACGCTGCTCTGGCATTACGGAGGGCCTTCCTATAAGTTTTAAGAGGGACAGCGAGAGAGAGAAAGCTAAGCTAAAGTCGCTAACAGCTAAGCTAAAGTATGGTAGCGTTAGCTACCAAAACTCTTGTAAACAACTGAGATTTAACGAGAGTAGCAAAAAGATGTAAAGAACTGTGAGTGCTTAGGCAGAACTACTGTAAGAATGATTGTTTAGCGGACAGTTCCCAGAATTCTCTGAGAGGAATTCTTAGACCTGTTTGAATACTGCCCGTTCAGCATTGGACAACCAATTGAGCCAGCAGAGACTCTTTCATTGGATGCATTGCCAAGGTCATGCGCATGCAAAGTCTACGGGCCGCTGTATGAATCACTATGGGCGGCAGTACGGGCCGCTGTATGATTCCCTACAGGCTGCTACATGAATCGCTACAGACGGAAACATGAATCACTACGGGCTGCTGTATGAATCCCTATGGGCCACTGTATGAATCCCTACGGGCCGCTGTATGAATCCGTACGGGCCACTAGTATGAATCACTATGGGCCACTGTATGAACCACTACTGGCCGCAGTATGAATCCCTACAGGCCGCTGGATGAATTGCTACAACTTCCTGCTTTCTTACAGTGCAGACACTTTGCTGTTTGCTCTTGCCTCTGCTTGCATTCTTTTGCTTAAACTCTTTTTTTCTGCTAGAAATCAGCAGCTCTTGGAAAGCAGCAGCTCTTTTAAATCACTGGGACTGTCAGATAAAGTTGGCTCTTGCCATACTTTAAAAACATTTATGATCTTAGTGCTACGTGAGTGCGGCCTATCAATAGCACTAGCCTGTACTGCAGTTACTGGAGTTATAGCTAATGCTAATTAGCAACAAGATGCCCCCCTTCTCCATGGACGACTTCTACAAACTTCTACAGAAAATTGCAGTGCTGGAAACCAAGATCCACAGGTTAGAAGTAAATGTGGAAGTGAATGGATTATGTGGGAATGACACCACTTTACCGTGGACCCAAAACAGTGGACAAGAGCATGTTAACTCACGGCTAATTAGCACCAAGAAGCAGGAGGCCTGTGTACTGGGTAATAAATCTAAAAGTGGGAGTCCTCCCTGGAATGCTCTTGGTGCAAAGCCCAAGAGTAAATCATTTCCTGGGGAAATGGGATGACGAGTAACAGGCAGAACCCAGCGCCCTGAGATTTGTGATACGACTGGCTGGCCTGCATTAACATCCAGGCAGAGCGCCTCTTCAACCCCTGTTCTTGGTAGGACACAGCCGTGGACAGCTGCGAAAGGGAGAGTTAGCATCAAACCTCCCCAACAACCGAGTGTGCAACAGCAGAACAGATTTTCTCCACTATTGCAGGACCCTGGATCTCCGTCTGATGACCTGGATAACATCCCATCCTCAGACAGAAGGGTAAGGACTGAGAGTAAATCAGAAAGTAAAAGGCTGCAGGGAAAGCTAATGACTGGGCCTCAAACTCTGATTGTGGGTGACTCTGCTGTAAACGATGTAAGAAGCATGTGCAGTAAGAAAACCAAAATACTTTTCGAAGGATAAGGTGTCTGACTTGTTGAAAGTGTTGAAAGAGGACTTTAATAATCTGTTGAACACAGTCAGCTCTTTGAATGCTGAGGTGTTTATCAGTGACCCCATACCGCCAATCCAAAGAGGAGAGAGATTCAGCAGATTGATGGCATTGAACACGTGGCTCTCAACGGCATGTACTGTCCATTCAGTGCATTTCATCGAAAACTTTTACTTTCTGTGGGACCGCAGACATCTTTTTAAGGCAGATGGACTTCGCCTTAACAATTCAGGAGTAAAACTGTTCAGCTCCAACCTGTTTTACTTTCTGCGTCACTCATCTGTTCCCTCTGCCAAGGACAAGAGACAAGAGGAATCTAAACAAGAAGAAGACATAACACAACACGCTAGAAACCTTGAAGGAGAGCCACCTCAGCCCCCGCCCGAAGAAAGCGGGGGCTGAGGAGCGGGAGACAACTGAGCCAAGAGGAAGAGCCTCCACCTCCTTCACTGAAAACCAACAGTGAGGATTCACCATCTCTACCCCCCAATCCCCATCCAGGTCACCCTTTTCTCCAGAAACCCTTTCTCCCCTCTCCCCCCTGTTGGACTTCACTGATCACATGGAAGACCTGGTTAGAGCTGGGACCAAATTTACTCCCCGCACCTTCCCTCACTCCACTCCCATTCTCTCTACCCTAAACCCCCCTCACCCCTCGTCCACCTCCACCACTGGTTCTAAGTCCTCCAGATTTGACACGTGTCACAAATACAGCACCCGACCCGTCCTCCCGCTCTGCAATGTTGAAAAAGCCCAGCAAGCTCTGTCTGATATGTGCTGGGTCCAGGCTACAAGGAAAATAGCACTCATGACTCTTCCCAGGACAAGCCGGGGCCCAGTGTGCTGGTAGTCTTCTCCATCCCTGTCTTGATAGGTAACAGAAAAAGCACGGTGAATGTGTTAAGAAACAGGAAGCACTCAACATATCCTGCAAATTTAGTATTAATTCCTCATCAGCTGCAACCTGTCGAAAAAAGTGGGCCAGATAATGTTTTTAACACACTAAAATTAGCTTTGTTAAACGTTTTATCTTTTATGATCAAGAACAGTGTCAAGCGGATTTCTTCTCAACACATCATCGCAGCATTATTGTTCGGACACCACACTGTCCTTATCGAGTCTACCCCTCCAAGCTTCAGTTTCATGAGTGAGGCTAGAGTGCATAAGAGAGGAGGTGGAGTTGCCATTTTGTTTAATGACTCCCTCCAATACAAAAAGATGTCTTATGGGAATTTTGCTTCTTTTGAATATGTGGCTCTTCAGCTGAATTCCTC